TTTGAAAATCTAGATCACAACAAATCCATTTCATATTTGTGATTCCAAAATGCTTGAATTCTTGCCCAGATAAGAATTTCAGAAGTCAAATTTTTCTTATTTGCAAATGATATGATTCTGAAAAAAACATAAAGACTTCACAACTCTTACAACTGATAAACACTTTTAATAATGTTTCAGGTTACAAGTTACAAAATCAATACACAAAATTCAGTAGATTTTCAGTATACAAAAAAAAAAAACATATTGAGAAAGATCAGGAAAACCATCACATTTACAATACCTCCCCAAATACCTACTGATCCTAATTAAGGTGATGAAGTGAAAATTATGAAACCCTAAGAAAGAAATTGATGTTGACTCTAGAATATGGAAAGACCATGTTCATGGAGTGGCAGAATTAATATTTTTAAAATGAACATAGTACTAAAAATGATAAGCAAGTTGAATGTAATTTCCAGAAAAATTCTGAACACATTCTTCACAGTAAGAAAAACAAATAAAGCTATAATATTTAATAAATATATACTTATATCTTATATATGTATATTTTATACTTAAATATATATTACATATATGTATGTAGCATGGATTACAGATAAATATAAATGTATTCCATATATACAGATATATGGAAGAGAATGTGTTCTTTTTTTCTATGCATCTTCTCATACTCTATAAAGATATAATCAGAAATATTTGTATTATTATTTTTGAATGATTTTTTTATTTTCTATCCTGTAATTCCATGAGTGTGAAACTAGATTTTGTATTACTCACTATCTCTTAAAAGTTACAATGCTTGGCATGTATACCTACTGAAATATTATTTAAGACACTATAATAACTACCTGCACATTAGATTTGGAGTACAAAGAAAGGATTTGCCAATATGTTAATAAATTTAACAGACGTCAGTGATAATCTATGTGAATATTAAATTGGAATTGCAAAATGTTAGGGAAGACATAGATGAGGGTTGAGCATTCGAAAAAAAAGGAAGAATATATGCAAATGTGGGGATATAAAACAACATGGTGTATGTTGTGAAATGGAGCTCTCCATTATCAAAAAAAATTGCTACTGTTTCTTTTTGAGATAGTAAAAGACCAGAAGCTAAAGATTTAGGCAGGTATATAAGCTAACCAAGTGTTCTAATGATCAAGACTTAGCACTTTATATGGGCTGATGAGGAAGCTGTAGAACAGTTGTAAGACGAGGATCCCATTGTTGGATTAAATTAAAATTGTGGGTTTTCATATAATATATCACATGGCCTATATTTAGTTATAATTCTAGCATGTTTTATATTAGGTCACTACAAGGAACAAAAATAATTTCTTGATGTTGAAAACATGTACAGTGCTTCTTACCCTGATAAACTTAACATATACTATTGGTTAGGATGAAATATAAATAATCTAATTTAGAGACTTGGACTTATTAATAGGTTAGAGAATGGGAGAGGGGTTTATAATTTTCAGAATCATCTAAAAATTTTGTTTTTTTAACAATGACATTAATTCAATAATTCTCCAGTTACCATTAAATGCATTAATAAGCTCTACTGACTTTAGTTATCATAAGAAACTCATTTAAAACTATATATGTTTTACTCTATCAAATCCAATAACTTTCCTAACAGTTACAATTGACATAGGTTCAATATCCAGACAATATAGAAACATAATTTCTTTATGACAGATAAAGATATGTGTATCTACCTATCTGTGTATCTACTTCCCCCAATTTGTATTGCCATAAACATCTATTATCATCTATATAACCACTGATTCATTGATTAATAATTTTATTCAGTTCCTGAAATCTACCAGTTATCAGTTATCCATCCGCCTTCATCTACCAGGATCACGTTATACAAAAAATTATACAAACTAAAAATAAAAAGCTAGTAGTTATAATTAATCATTAATGTTTACAGGAGTTGAATATTATGAGGCAAATGTTTTTTCATGCATGTAGCTCTTCAAAACCAATTGCAGAGTTTTTTTCTGGAAGATAATCTGGCAAGAAGGAGAGAATAAGGAGAAAGAGATAGAGAATATTCCTTCTGGGTTAGACTCTGTTATCCAATAATTACATGAAATTGGGAAGCAACATCATACTGGATTTCCAACTTCTTCACCTATTAAAGAGATTCATAGATGATTTCTATCTTCTAAAAACAGCAGTTATTAGTTATATCAAATAGGGTGGTAGACTTTGTTTCATGGGTCCTTTGTATCTTTTTTTTAATTTTATTTTATTTGTGAACATACTGTACAGAGGAGTTACAATTACATGGGCAGGATAATGTGTACATTTCTTACCAAGCATTGCAGCCTCCTCCTTTGTTAACCCTTCACATCCCTTCCCAGCCTCTCCCCTCCCCCCAATCCCAATCGTTCTCCCCCCCCCACTGACGTTGTAAAGCTCGTTTTGGGCATGACAACTTGTACTTCTCATTGTTGCAACAGGTCCACCTGTATCCTTAAACAACTGGTTTTTCCCCATCTCCTCCACAAGTTATACTGACATCAATTATGGTGAAAGCAGGGGTTATACTGTGGGGGAGGGACATACAAAGCAACAAAGAGATAATCTTATAAATGCATTAGAAACACATGCATGAAAGAAAAAAACATTAAAATACACATCTAATGGTTCATTTTCCTGACATCACATTATCTGACCTTTTCCACTTGACTCATACATATACTAGATATTACAAATAAGGGAAACCATGGGACCTATGTTTCTTTGGGCCCGGTTTACTTCACTTAATATAATTTTTTCCAAGTTTTTCCATTTCCTAACAAATGGGGCAATGTCATTCTTTCTGATGGAGGCATAGAATTCCATTGTGTATATATACCACATTTTCTTGATCCATTCATCTACTGAGGGGCATCTGGGTTGGTTCCATATCTTAGCTATGGTAAATAATGCTGCAATAAACATAGTTGTGCTGGTAGCTTTAGTGTGGTCTTGTTTGTAAACATTTGGGTAAATGCTCAAAAGTGGGATTGCTGGGTCATAGGGGAGTTCTATGTGAAGTCTTTTGAGGAACCTCCATACTGCTTTCCAACTTTGTATCTTTTTTACAGGTAAGGGTTTGCTATATGTGACTGTAGAATCCTTTAATACTTTGAAATATATAACAGAAGTTTACCATAATGCTTTAAAGCTATGGAATATATTCTAGGCAGTGAAGGGAAAATATGATTTCTTATTAAATAGGGTTGCAAGCATAATAAATAGCAAATACTTTTTCTCAACCTAAACTATTCCTTTCTGGTTTGAATTAAAAATAATTCCTCAACATTTTGTGAGTAGTGAATATCATTACTTTGGTTCACTGGTGCTATACCACATCTTGGTACTCTCATATATCTAACAAAAGTCAGATATTGTAAAATGTAATGTCCTTATTCTAAAATGGAATGTATATAAAATATTCTAAAAAGTTTGTCCTTATACTTTAAAATGTTGAGCATGAATTAGATCATGCCTCTTAGTAAAGGTTATATTGAGTGTGTCACAAAATTTGAGCATAATTCAGTGACTGCTGTGTAGGTTGAGCTATGAACTCACTGATTTCTTAAAGTAGTGGCATTATGGTTGGCCAATAAATTAATGAGGATAAGTGCTGAATAGGAAAATTAAGAAAGACAATCAATTTTCATAGATTTAAACATATGGCTGCTAAGTTTCCTCAGAGAAACCTTGACATCTTTATTTCTAAAAGTATAGATCACTGGGTTCAACAGGGGAGTAAATATAGTATAAAATGTAGAAAGTACCTTTTCTATTGAGAAGTTTGTGAAAGGCTACACATAAATGAAAATGCAGGGGCCAAAGAATAGAGTTACAACAGTGAAGTGGGCACTGCAAGTGGAAAGGGCTCTAGAAGACCCACGAGAGGAATACTGCCGAACAGTGACCAGGATGACAGTGTAGGAAATCACCAAAAGGATGATACACACCAGGGCAATCATACCACTGGTGGAGATCATGAACACTGCTAGAATATATGTGTCTACACAGGCAAGTTTAATCACCAAAGGGAGGTCACAAAAGAAGCTATGTACTTCACTGGGTCCACAGAAAGGCAGATTCACAGTAAATGCTAACTGACTCAATGAATGGAAGATGCCCACAATCCAGGAAAGTATTTCCAGCTAAATGCACATTTGCTTGCTCGTGATGGTTAAGTAGTGTAAAGGCTTACAGATAGCCACATACCTGTCGAAGGACATGGAAATCAGCAGGACCATCTCAGCCCCTCCTAAGAGATGTAGAAAGAATATCTGGGTTATGCAGCCTTCAAAAGAGATAACTTTGTGTTCACTGAGAAAGTCTGCAATCATTTTGGGGGTGGCAAATGAGGCTAGGGACATGTCAATGAAGGAGAGATTACCCAGCAGAAAATACATGGGTGAATGAAGCTGTGGCTCTAATATGACTGTGAGCATGATAAAGAGGTTCCCTAGCACAGTAGCCACATAGACTAGGAAGACAAACAGGAAATAGAAGATTTGTAGTTCTGAAGAGCCAGATAGACCTTGTAGTATGAATTCAGTCACGATTGACTGATTACTCCATGCCATTCATTCACCTTGATTTCTGCAAGAACTCTGACATTTCCAGATGGAAGATAAACTAGGAAAAATACAGCAATAAAACTCAGAGTAAGACATTTTTTACATAGATGATTTAATTATAGCTTACCACCAGTTGTTTCCTCATTGTATCCTTGCCTAGTTCATCAGTGTTAAATACATCCTCCAATTGACTACTTAGATATTTTCAACTAAATATTATACTTTATAACAGCAATTTGTGTTACAAATTTAAATATTATAAAAATATTAAAATGTAGTATATTCAAATATGTACCACTGAGTTTGTGAAATATTTTGTGATGTTTTTAAAATTTCACAGCTAAATGCTAACAGGGTTTGAAAGAAGTGATTAATATTCTTTCTCATAGAATCATGATAGATGGCAGACTGACAAGAAACATTTGAGAAATGTGACTGGTTATTAGTGGGAATGCCATAGTGGAAGGGATACAGTAATAGAAATAAATGAGGGGCATGATTTCTTGGAGTGGCTGGGGAAAATGAATAGAAAATAAAAGAGGAAATGACTATAGAGAAACAGAACCCACTTCAATTTCCTAATAAATATTATCAAGAATGAAATTGAAATTCTCTTTAATTCTTAGATTTTCCAGATGTACATGTGAATGACAATTGTGACTGATGCTAGACTTTTTCCCTCAAAGCCTGATGAGCATGATCTCTGTAAAGTATGAAAGACTTTTCCAAATTCATTGTAAATAAACTATCACAGGCCTTGCCATCTGAAGCCAGAAAATTTTTATTTTTAACTGCTGTAGTTGATTGACTTGCACAATCACAATTTGGAACAGCAGAATTCATTTTTGGCAAGTTAAATAACATGATAAAACATGTTTATAGAGATAAAAGTAATGGTAAAAGTGAACAGAGAATTTCTGTAACATAACAAGGTTTCAAAGTTATGAAAGTGGTTAGGGAAACTGTCTCTCACTAAGAAAGGGAAAAACTTCCCAAACTGCACTGGAACTCAGTTTCAATGATGTGATCTGAAACTTCATGACAAAACCATTTTTACCTCATCAGTAAATCAAGCTAGTGCTTTTTCAAAACTCTATTGTAAACACACATATCTACATTATGTCATGTACATATGTATATATTCTCTCTATGTATATTCTAAACAAATTATATATATATATACATACACACACATATATACTAAACAAATTATTTTAAGAACAAACCAAGTTCACATTTATAACTACCTCTCACTCACTGACATTTTGTTCTGTTACCTTTCTTTAACTCTGCACTCTTCTCTTGGCATTTTTATTCCCAGAAATTATAAATGTCTTCTGAACTCACCCACCTGTTACTTAGAAAGATGTCTCCAGCACAACTCTTGTTGCAATTGGTATATCAGAATAGTATTTGTCTGGGACTCAGAAAATGGGATTCAAACTTACTTAAAGTTTGCAGCTGGGCAATTTAAGTCAATTGGTGCACCCAGTTCTTCATGCATAAGTTAGGTGGGTTGATTTATGTGATTTTTAGAAAGATCTTCTACTACTAGTTATTACTCGGCTACTTCTTTAAAGCAGGAACCACTACTCCAGAGTGAACTTGGGTGAAAAGAAAGTAGAAGTTGTAGCGGGGTGCTGGTGGCTCACACCTGTAATCATAGCTACTCAGGAGGCTGAGATCTGAGATCGTTGTTCAAAGCCAGCCTGGGCAGGAAAGTCCGTGAGAGTTTTATCTCCAATAAACCACCAGAAAACTAGAAGTGGTGCTGTGGCTCAAGTGGTAGAAGGCTAGCCTTGAGTTGAAGAGATGAGGGACAGTACCCAGGCCCAGATTTCAAGCCCCATAACCCCTGCCCCCGAAATAAGTAAAAGTTGTTGAAATCACTGTATTTATAATGTCTGAAGTTATGAATTACATGAACTACAGGAATGACATTAAAGGACAAACTAATTCTTGGGGAACAAACAAATGTTAAAATTGAAGTGGGAATTATTAAAGTAATCAAGTTAATTTGATCAGAGTTAAAAGTGGATTATAGAACACATGATAGCTATTAAGTGACTAATGAGCAGGGAGTGGATTTTTATGAGTTGGAGTGGATTTACAAAATAATTGTTACAAGGAATTCAGCAGATAAAACAAACAGAATTTATTATTTGTATTTCAGAATTACAAGTATTATTTTGCAGTTTTCCACTAGTAAATATGCATAAATTCCCTCCTTCCTATTTGGAGAAAAATTCATATAGTGATAAAATAGTTTATGTTTGTAGCTTTAAATTTTGTAATATTCATTTGTATGATCATGGAGAAAAAGGGAAATGAATAATAAAAATCTGCACTATAAAGTTTATGGAATAAACAAGTGGCCCATGAAATCATTTAATATTTATACAAAAATTGTAATAATGACTAATAAATTTGAGATACCAGCAATGTAAACAGATTTCCCTTTTAGCTTGGGTACAACAGTTACATTGTTCTCAAATGATAGTACAGGAGCATGGGAGTTTTTCCAATTTTCTTAGTTCTGTTTTGATTTCCTTTTTCAAGATTTTAAAGTTTTCATCATAGAGTCCTTCAGTTCTTTGGTTAAGTTAATTCCTAGGTATTTTATTTTTTGATGGAGTTGCTTTCCTAATTTCAGCCACACTTTTCTCATTGTTGGCATACAGAAAAGCCATTGATTTTTGAGGCTTAATTTTATACCCTGATACTTTGCCAAAGTTTTGAATCAACTTGAGTAATATGGGAGTGGAGTCTATGGGATTCTTTAAGTACAAGATCATGTCATCTGCAAAGATGGAGAGTTTTATTTCTTCTTTCCCTATTTGGCTCCCCTTTATGTCTGCATCTTTTCTTATTGCTGAAGCTGGGCATTATAATACTAGGTTGAAGAGAAGTGTAGAGAGTGGACATCCTTGTCTTGTTCCTAAGTTAAGAGGAAATGGCTTTAGTTTTTCACCATTAAGTATAATGCTGGCTGTAGCTTTGTCATATACAGCCTTGATTGTATTGAGGAATGTTCCATGGATTCCTAATTTTTCCAAAACCTTCATCATTAAGGGGTGTTGGATCTTGTTGAATGCTTTTTCTGCATCTATTGAGATAACAATGTAGTTCTTATTCTTTCTTCTGTTGATGTGATGGATAATACTAATTGATTTGCGTATATTGAACCAGCTTAGCATCCCTGAAATGAATCCTGTTTGATCATGCATGTTTTATGATTTTTTGGATGAATTGTTGAAGTCGATTGGCCAGAATATTGTTGAGAAGTTTTGCATCAATGTTTATCAAAGAAATGGGTCTATAGTTCTCTTTCTTTGATGATCCCTGCCTGGTTTTGGGATGAGGGTTATGATGGCTTCATAGAATGAGTTCTGTAGTGAACTTTCTCTTTCAATTTCATTGAAGAGTTGGAGGAGTATTGGTGTGAGCTCAGCTTTGAAGGCCTTGTAGAATTCCGCTGTAAAACCATCTGGTCGTGGACTTTTCTTAGCTGTGAGGTCTCTTATTACTGTTTCTATTTCAATGCTTGATATGGGTCTGTTAAGCTGGTTTAACTCATTTTGGTTTAGTTTTGGCATGTCAATATTTGCTAGGAAAAGGTCCATTTCTGCCAAGTTCTCAAACTTACTAGCATAAAGTTTTGAGAAGTATTCCCTTAAAATGTTCTGAATCTTGGTTGTTTCTGTGGTGATGTTTCCATTCTCATCTCTGAGTTGATTTATTTGGGTGTGTTCTCTTCTTTTTCTGATAAGATTTGCTAAGGGTCTGTCAATTTTGTTAATTTTTTCCAAGAACCAACTCTTTGTTTTGTTGATTCTTTCTATAGTTTTTTTGGATTCTAATTCATTAAATTCTGATTTAATTTTAATTATTTCTTTCCATCTACTGGATTGGGGTTTATCTTGTGGCTCTTTTTCAAGGAGGTTCAGATGTCTCATTAAATTGTGGGTTTCAGATCTCTCCAATTTGTTGATGTAGGAGAGCTATAAACTTGCCTCTGAGTATTGCCTTTCCTGTGTCCCAGCGGAGCTGGTAATTTGTGTGCTCATTTTTGTTGAATAGCATGAACATTTTAATTTCCTTTCTAATCTCTTCCATGACCCACTCATGATTCAGCAGTGTGTTGTTCAGCCTCCATGTGTTACCAGACTTTCTTTGGTGGCTTTTGGTGTTGAGTTCTAATTTTATTCCCTTGTGGTCTCTGAGAATGCAAGGTATAACTTCAATGTTTCTGAATTTAGACAAGTTTGCTTTGTGGCCTAAAATGTGGTCTATTTTGGAAAACGTTCCACGTGCTGCTGAGAAAAACGTGTATTCTGATGCTGCTGGGTGAAATATTCGGTAGATATCTGTTAAATCTAGTTGATCTTTGCAGTTGTTTAGATCTGCGGTTTCTCAGTTGAGTTTTTGCCGAGTTGATCTATCTAGTGGGGAGAGTGGTGTGTTAAAATCCCCAACAATTAATGTCTTTGGATCTATGTCAGATTTGAGGGAAAGTAGTGTTTCTTGGATAAATTTGGGTGTTCCATTGTTTGGTGAATAGATATTTAGAATTGTAATATTCTCCTGTGCTTTCACTAATTTGATGTCGGTATAATTTGTGGAGGAGATGGGGAAAAACAAGTCGTTTAAGGATACAGGTGGACTTGTTGCAACAATGAGAAGTACAAGTTGTCATGTCAAAAACAAACTTTACAACTTTCGTGTGGGGGTGGGGGGTAGGATTTGGCTGGGGGGCGGGTGGAGGCTTGGAAGGGATGTGAAGGGTAAGCAAAGGAGGAGGCTGCAATCTTGATAAAAAATGTACTCATTATCTTGCCCATGTAATTGTAACCCCTCTGTACAGTATGTTCACACAAAATAAAAAAAATATAAAAAGAAATGTACTCATTATCTTGCCCATGTAATTGTAACCCGTCTGTACAGTATGTTCATAATAAAAAAGAAGAAAAAATAGACAATAAATAATGTATAAATAATGTTTAAAT